TGGGGTTTTACAGGCTGGGGATGGAAGTATTCGGGGTTGGGGGTGGAGTATCGGGGCTAAGTGGTGTTTTTGGGGCTGGGTGATGTTTTTTCAGGGCTTGGGGTGGTTTTTTTGTGGGTTGGGTTTGAGTTTTTGAGGTTGTGCTGGGTGGGGGTGAGGGTGGCCATGGAAGGGTTGCAATTCAGGTGGTGTTATGGTGGTCCAAAGAGAGATTTAGAAAGAAGAAATAAAATAAAAAGGGAGTCTTAATGGAAGATGGGGTCAAAGGTGGAATTGTTTTTAGAATTTCTAAAGATGGGGTCGTTTATGGAAGACCAACTAAAGGTGGGATTATTAGATTTTATTTTTCCTTCTAAAATAAAAATCAAAAGAGAATAGTTCGTCAAAAAGAAAATAAAAATCAGTTGAAAATATATAGAGTAACCACGTCAACACGGACTTTTGTGCGAAATCAACCTCCATCTTTGTAACTAACCTTAAAATGGTTTATAAATGCAACCTTTCTTTCGAAAAAAGAAAAAGAAAAAAAAAATCAAACAATTAAGTATATTCTTTTCTTATTTACAGTTTTCTTTGATGTAAGATAAGTCTCAATTTACCCGAGGGATTCTCTTATTCACTTAACCATTTTTATTTATCAAATTCTTTGGTAGAGTATATAAGGTTGAATTTTTGGTTGAGTTGGTCCACTAACTAGTATCGGAGCCAGCATGACACAAAAGCCACAGGTCTAAATCTCATCCACCTTCCACTTTCAAAGGGCTCTTATACGAGGGGGCGTGAAGTGTGATAGAGTATAAAACATATTCTTGGGCTTAACACTCTTAACTGTTATTTTACGCAAACTAAAGTTACCCTCTAATTATAATCACATTACACTTATTTTCTCATCTATAATTGTTCATTATGTAAGATTACATTATGTACATTACACGGGATGAAAACTAGTTGAAAACGGCTTCACATCTTTATGGCACATATGTTGAAATAGACATCCTTGAAAAAAAGAAATGTAACAAAAAAAAAAACGAATTCTTAAATGCCACGATAGCTGAATCTACGTTTGGTACGATGGACGATCTTTCAAGCCATAACAAACAAAGAGTATAAACGTGAAGAAACAACAATATTTAAAGATTAATCTCCTCTCTGCCGAAATTTCTGATAAATTAATAGAGACTTGAAACATATTTGGTTGATTTGGTGACCTTTTGTTGGATGATATATAAAGCCCTTTAATTGGTTTATTCTAATTTCATAGTTTGCAACGTCGGCTACATTGGCTCAGCAACCGTTGGTTGGTTGTTTCTCTCGTGTATTATATCATCATCTAGGAGAATATAGCAACTACTTATGGATATTTGTATGTTTATTATTGGTATTCCTTCTGTTTTAATTTAATTTATTCAATTTTAATGGGAAATGATTTTAGAATTATGTTAGTATTGAGTTATTAGATGATATCTTAATTATCAAGAGTTACATGCAATGTCATAGAAAATAGGTATTAAATGATTATTTTTTAATTAATTGAGACATACTAATATATACGACTTTATTTTATTTTTATTTTTATTTTTATTATTTTTTTTTTAATCATACGGAGTACATTGTATCTGTGGAAAAATAGAGGTAATAATAAAATATGTAATTCCTCACTCTTTGTTGACTTTAAAATTGTTCACATATTTTATCATCACAAATTCTTGTATATAGTTAACTACGCCATTAGTTGATGGTGTGACCATTTCACATATGCAATTAATTGAGCAAATAAGCCGAGGGTTATATATAACAAATCAAATGAGGTTACCATGACAAAGGAGGGGTATATGGTTACCCCAAAGAAATAATGGGTTTATCCTTATAAATAAGTGAAATTGTCTTTTTATTAGTTAAAACAAATAAAGAACTTCTCAAATTAAATGTGTTTCAAAAAAAAAAAAAAAAAACTCAAATTAAATGAACAAGTGAGGTTATATGTTTTGAATTAACTAGCCTTTTGGCTCGTGCAATGCACGACTTGTTCATAAAAAATTGCATCGAGAGATGAGTGAGGAAATGCCAATAAATAATTATAAGTGTAATATGTAAATGAAAACATAATTAAAGAAATAAAAATTTTGGGACTTTAATTTGAAATGAGACTTAATAAAAAGAAGATCGAGGGACTAAAATCAAAGAGAGAATTTAAAGAGGGGAGATGAAGATGAAGTGTTTAATGAAAGAGTTAAGAAAAATTGTATAATTAAAAATAAAAAATATAAAACGACATGTGGCACATTGAGTTGAAGAAGAAGATAGAGAAGTGTAATATAGAATGATGACATATGTCTTTTTTGGTTTGCTTTTTTAAATACTAAGTATAAATTGACGGTACATACTCATATATTTCGTATATACTCCCTCCGTCCCTAAATTACATTCCTCTTTCTCTCTATTATGTGAGGAATAAATGCTAGAAAGAGGAATGTAATTTAGGGACAGAGGGAGTAATAAAATAAAGTTACTAATTGGTAAAGTAATTAAGGTTTTCCTTAATTTCTTAGGAATAATTGAGGTTACTCATCCGTTTAAAAAAAAAAAAAAAATTGAAGTTACTCATATTAATGAACAAGGATTACATACTCTTAAAGATAAATGTACTACTCGTATAGTAGTATGTATTAATCACCATTGTACTGTATTGAATGGGAGAATCTTCTATGCATTTAGATGATAAAAATAAAACTTCCTCCGTTCTTTATTACTTGACCCACTTTGACTTTTACACTAATCATCACCTTGACCGTCTTTTGTGAATAATATGTAAGAAAAAATATATTCATGTATGATTTTTTTGGATTCGTTTCAATAAGTACTATCATAATATATAACTCTTAAAACTTTTACTTATGGAGGAATTAAGTAATTGATCGTTAAAATTTTGCATTGATAAGCGTGATAAAAAAAACAGGTCAAGTAAAAATGAACTGAGGAAATACTCACGAATATTTTTTTCCGTATACTTCCACCCATGTATTTGTTTTTGGTTAATAATCACACATGATATATCACTTTCATTTTGTATTTGTATTTGTATTACTTACAGTATATTCTTTTTAAAAACTCATTTAGATGTATGTCGATATATAGTGGATGTTGCATCTATTCATCTGATTCTCGTCTTGATTTCACATTAGTTTGGTGTCGTCTAAGGCTTCTGCCCACTACTAAGGTCCAGCTCCCAAGCCTTCGGCTCTAATACCAATTGTTAAGACTTCTTCACTGTCCAATATATTAAGTTATATGCTCACCTTGATTTTACATTAGTATGATATTATTCACTTTAACTTACCTTGCATAAATTTGTTTTTAAACACCTTTTTACAAAAATCACATACGAATAAAAACACACAGATATACTCTTATACGGAGTACAAATTATACAACTGTTCCTTTTTTTTTTCTTATGGCACCCCAACATTAGGAACTTAATCATCACATAATTTTACTGGTACTATATCACATATGGGTGAACGGTGAACACAATGGCAGCAATTTCTTTTGTCAAATCATTTGAAATAAAAGCTATCATGTACCCTTAATTAAAAAAATAAAATAGAAAAGGCTTTCATGTAAACAATGTTTGACTTAAATAAAAAAAAGGGTGAAGAAGATGACAAAATTGATAAAGGTAGTGTAAATCAGACACTGGCTGAAGACAAAGGAGCCCCATTTGTCTGGCATATTCATCTTTTCTTTTATTTAAACTCTCAAGTTAAAGTTACGTTACAATTTCATACCCCTTTCTAATTTATAACCCTTCATTCATTGTTGTCAAAAAAAAAAAAAACCCCTTCATTCATGCATGAAAATGCTTGATTGGTTATATAAAGAAGCATACAACTGCCACATATTTATTAACCAAATGTCTATCATTTCTATTTCCATCACGTGTTATCTATGTTCATATAATTTGTTCTTGTGAATTCATTTTATGGTGGTGAGATCAATTTGAGGATCTTATTGATGATTGTTTTTAATGCAGTATTTGTGAGACTACATTATAACACATGTATTGGTTTCAAGACTCATCTCAACAACATTATGTTATTTTGTCGCTTATGATAACACCATCGTCTATCTTACTATCTGTGGTAATATCTGTCAATCAATTCTCTACATTTCGCTTTACTACAACCATTATAAGTAGAGATAACATGTGTGTAATGAATAATAACTTATCGTTACTTTACATGATTAGATATACATCTAGTTTTCTTCGATAGCATGATAAGATATAACCCCCCTATAAATAAAAGTTGTGAAGAAAAGGGTGGATCACAATATGATAACTATGTGATCCACCCCTCCATTTAGGCCCCTCCCAAGAAAAGCTAAAGTCGACAAATCATATTTATATTCTGTACGTATGACCCCCTAAATTCATTCTAAGAACTCAAATCAAATACTCCATAAACATAACTCAATCAACCCAACAACTTTCTAACAAAATTTTAAAATAATTAATTACAAGTTTATTATTTTCCAAACATGTAGAAATTAAATGCCTCAATGTATCATCATTCACCAACAAAGCACAGATACCGCAGAATAACTAGTTTAGTTGGTTAAAATTTTGCAGTATTACACACATTTTTAAGACTTAAAATCCTAATTCATTATTTCATTTTCATTATTTGTCATTTGTAACTCTCCTAAGACGCAAAACCAATAAAGTTGTAAGAAATAAAATAGTGGTCCATTATACTCCTCCTACACAATAATACTCATCTTTTGATTTGATCCCAAGTAACACTTTAGTTTTTGATAGAGATTAGATACCACAAAAGAGGTTAAACTAAAAAGCTAAAACTTAAAAAAAAAAAAAAAAAAAAAAAAAAATCAGAGAAAAAAGCAGCCAAGATGTCAGGATCACAGACACAGCCAAACAGCTTTTTTTAATAATCTTGATCATCTTTCTCTCTCTCCCTTCCCTTTCATACTAATGATCTCTTTCTTCCTTCTCTCTCTCTCTCTAAACCAACCAACCTCTCTTTCTCTCTCTTCAAAATCTCTCTCCTCTGTTATACTTTCATATGATCAGCATCTTCTGGATTCATTATATATAAGAATCAAAAAAACTTTATAATATTAACTTCATTTTTCAGCTAGAAAAACAAATTTATAAAAAGCTTACATACTGTTTGTCTCAGATCCCAATAAATTTATCATATCATAAAATATAATCTGTCTTTCTCTCTCTAGGTTTTTATATTACAGTTCAGTGTTCACTATCTGATTTACTGATTTAGCAGTAAGTTTAAAGCAATCTCTCTCTCTCTCTTTCCTTCATTTTTTCTCACCCTATATTTGTGGTCCTCTCCCTATATTATTATTACTCCTTCTTCCCTCTTTTTTCCCCTCTTTCTCTCTCTACCTTAAACTTTCTCTCTCCTAATTTTTTCTCATTTTTTCTTCATACCCATTTCATATAATCACCTAATTCAAGTACCCTTTTGAAGGTTTTGATTGATTCCATCAAAATCTAGTTTTCAATTTTTAGGGTTTTTAAAGAAAAATGCAGGAACAGGGGTTAGGGATGATGGGAGGCGGAAGCGGAGGCGGAAGTGGTGGTGGTTTTAGCGGATTGATGGCCGGAGAAATGGCGTTTTCCGATCAATATAGACAGCTAAAAGCTGAAATTGCGACACATCCGCTGTATGAACAGCTGTTAGCGGCTCATGTAGCTTGTTTGAGAGTTGCAACACCAATTGATCAGTTGCCTTTAATTGAAGCTCAATATAATCAATCTCATAATTTATTTCGTTCTTATGCTACTAATTCTCAACATAATCACTCTCTCTCTCCTCATGAACGCCAAGACCTTGACAACTTTTTGGTAATAATTCTAATAATAATCATCTATTTTTTATTATAATATATAGTTTGTGATTTGAAAAGTTAAATTAATGATTTGGGGTGTTTTTTTTTTTAGGCACAATATTTGTTGGTGCTGTGTTCATTCAAAGAGCAGCTACAAAATCATGTTAGAGTCCATGCTGTTGAAGCTGTCATGGCATGCCGTGAAATCGAACAAAATTTGCAAAATCTTACTGGTATGTCCTCGATATTGCCTTTATCTGAATTTAGTTGTCGAATTACTAGTTTAAATTATACGGTGATAGTAACAGTAATAATTTACTTCGTATTTCGAATAGAGAGTACATATTTTATTAGATCTATGTATGACTGTATAAATCAATGTATGTGTCATATACAAGTATTATTATTATTATTATTATTATTATTATTATTATTATTATTATTATTATTATTATATGGTGCGGTGAAAAAGACCATTAGAAAAAATATAACAATACATGTATAAAATTCAAGAAACATACATATGATATTGTATATTATAAACAAAACATATGATATAATAATATTCTATCCATTTTGCTTGATTAATGAAGTTTGCATACATTTGGGTTTCCTATGTTTCACTATTCTGATGATTGATTAGTTTGGTGGGCAACAAATAAATATATATATAATAAATAAATAAAAATTATCCATGACAAAATTGGAGGTTTTTGCAATTGCTTGTGTTGACAAACAAAAGGGTGGGTGGAAGTGGGTCCCATTGAAAAGGAAATTTTAATTTATAGTTAGGAGAAGATAGTTAGTTGGTGAGGAAGGGAGGGAAGAAGAAGAAGAAGAAGGGTTAACAAATTAAGCAAGATGTATACTATACATATATTATTATGTCTTAGCTTCAACCCCAACCAATCACAAATCGAAAGGTACACCCAATAATCGAATATTATTGTTGGTGTTATCTAGAAAGTATTGAATGATTGATTAGTTGATTAATGAAGATTACTATTTACTTAACAATATGATGTGGTCAAGCATTCATTTGTTATGAGTAGTTGTTACTATTAGGTAAGATATTTTGGTACAGAGTAGCATTTTAGGTCTTTTTTCGAGTACACTTTATCTTTTCATGTTTGTAAAAAAATTAAAAAATAAAATAAAAATAGACAATTAGTGTCCGAGGAAAAATAATTAATGTTTAGACGATATAAAGTATATCACATGTAAAGATGAATCTAACAAAACCTTATAATAATAATAATAATAATGTAATTTCCTTGCATATACTCCGTACAAGTATAATACAAATAATAGATGATTACAATGAACTATGTGAATAGTGCTAGTATAATAATGTTATGACTTTAAAATTAATTAAGGAGTACTTTTTTTAATAGAAAAATACAAAAACATAATTTGATATCTCATTATGTCATGTCAATCTAGATTAACAGTAAAAAGATATTTTCCTTTGTTTTTCCAAAGATATTGAAGTGGGGTTGTTTGAGCACATTGATTTATAAATTAGATTGATATGACTTTCACTTTTTGTTTAATCTAACATGCATGGTGATTGATTTGGTAATGGCCGGTTGGGATTTATTTACAATGATTGTCAATGTTAAATCCATTGTAACAATGCAATCATAACCACTAGATTTGCTTATCTTATTTGTGATTACTTTGTTACATTATAATGGTATAATTGAAATTCATAACAAATAAATTTGACACAACTTGAACATTTTCACTCTAGATTAGTTTTTTTTTTTTTTTTTTTTTTTTTTTTTTGGTATCAATTGTGAAGAAAGTATTACATACTTACTTCATATGTGATACTTTGAGGTCTAATTTAGCTAGTATGTACTCGTATAAAGTAATTAATTAGTGGTTGAAATTGTGAAATTCTCGCTAACACATTATTTGTCAAGTTGTGCTTGTTAGCTAGAAAACTTAGGTATTATTCCTTAATTATTCATGTTGAAAAATTAGTGACAGTTTAATAGTTTTTTTTTTTTTTTTTTTTAAAAGCCATTGTCAATGTTGATGTAAGAGAATGCGTGTTTTAGAATCTTATTATATAATTAATCAACTGTTTACTTGTCATTGTCCAATTTTAAAGAACTTAGGGAGATTGGCCAATTCAACATTCATTGATTAATTAAGAAATTAAGAATTTGTTACTTGATGAGTAAGGAATCTCTAGGAGGAGAGTAATTTTTTTTTTTTTTTAAAGAAAATAGCATATTTAATTGGAGTATTATATAAAATGGGGAGCTGAGAATAATGGAACTTGTGAGGAGGGTTTGGTCTCTATCAAATGTAAAAAAGATATGAGCATGTCATATTACTTTGTGTGCCGATATGAATGATCTTTGTTTTTATTGGTTTACATTTCTCTATTTATTTCTAAATTAAATACAAAAGTGGTGGACCATTCACTTATGGAGTAACATTTACCAATAAAAATAAGCATCATTTCATTTTTTTTACATAAAAATGAGATGATCTATTTTGGCGCTTACATAAAAGATGTGGTCATCCACCATAACTTTTGCTCACAAAGAAGATTTCTAAGCATGTGCTTATACTTGCATGTATTGTGCATCAAAGCATGCATACAGAACCAATATTTGAGTGGATTAAGTGTGACAACTTTATATTTTGAGCTTTAGAGCCAACTAACTGAGTGTAATATATGTGCATGTAAGTGGTATGACGGAAATATTGCACTTAAAACTTGGGTTATATGCCAATTTCATAACATAAAGATAAAGTAGGAGCACCAATTAGTCACAATATCAAATTTATTACTTATATAGTATGTATATGTGTTCTTTCTCAAACTCCTTTTTTTCCACTGATCAAGATGGATGAACACTAAACATAAAAAAGATAGCTAAAACTGATGTATAGCAGTCATATTATCCGAATTTTCTAATTCTGAAGGGCAGCTAATGCATAGGCATTTTCGAAATCAGTTTGCTAATATTTTGTGTTAGTAACATATATTAACTTGTGTTATTCTTTCTGCTTATGATTTGCATAATTGCATGCTATTCTATCTACTGATTTGCTGTTACATTCCTTGTTAGATGTTACGCTGTAACGAGCATTTTCTATTTGACAATTGTAGGCGCGACTCTAGGAGAAGGAACAGGTGCAACAATGTCCGATGATGAGGATGATTTGCAGTTGGAATACTCTATGGATCAGTCATCTGGGGGAGATGCACATGACATGATGGGATTCGGGCCTTTACTTCCTACTGAATCTGAGAGGTCTCTCATGGAAAGAGTGCGTCATGAACTCAAGATCGAGTTGAAGCAGGTAATTGAATCTGCACACTGTTCAACAGGAGTATAAGTCATCCAAAGAGTCCAGATTTTTTCTATATATAGAGATTGCTTTTGTTGTTTAATGATTGAAGAACAATGTCTTTGCAGGGGTTCAAGTCCAGAATCGAAGATGTCAGAGAGGAAATTCTGCGCAAAAGGCGAGCTGGGAAACTACCAGGGGATACCACTTCTGTTCTTAAGGCATGGTGGCAACAGCATTCGAAGTGGCCTTATCCTACTGTAAGATACACTACTCAATCTGCATATATATCCCTTCATGGTTTGTAACTTTCATCAGATTTATATTTTTTGTTGACAGCAACCTGTAATGCCTGCTTTTTATGATTACAGGAAGATGACAAGGCGAAACTAGTTGAGGAAACAGGGTTACAACTCAAGCAGATTAACAACTGGTTTATCAACCAAAGGAAGCGCAACTGGCATAACAACTCTCAGTCTGCAAATACTCTCAAATCCAAGCGCAAGCGGTAAACAGGCCATCCCACCTGATTCATTCCTGCAGAATGACATACAGATCAGACCAGAAGATCATATGCAAATATACGTTTTTGTATCGCGTTTCCATCAGTTTGTATGTAACTTCTCGTGCAGGTTGATATCAATCTAACCAAAACCACTGTTACTTTTGTGATATATATACTGAAATTCAATCATGGAATTACTGTTAGGATGCAGGATATGCGACTTCGCTCAACAGTCTGGTGTAAAGAAAAATGATAATGCATAGAGGGGATCAGATTAGGTCTTTTGGATTCTTAGTAATGATGTAATATACTACTTCTTCATATATCCTATTATTATGATCTGATCTTTTCAATATACTTAGTCCTCCTATGGTTGAAAGTTACTTTCACTCATGATTTCTTTTGTTTGAGACTATTGCCAAGGCACATGTGATGTTATGATCTTGGGTTCGTTGAATCTATTTCCCTTCTCATCATTGTTAAAGGACTAGCATAGTTATCATCATTTCCATTTTCGACTTTGAGGGTTGATTTAGCCCAAGTTCAAGGCTATATAGCTGATGAGTATGGCAAAGCATATTGTCTACTAGACAAAGGGCAGTTTAATTAAGCAACTTAGAAAAGTTTTCCAATCCAAAAATATATAATACGGAGTGCTTCCTTTGGTCCTTTTTGTTTTTCTTATTTGGAATCTTTGCACTACATATAAATTGAGAGAATTTTTATGTTACTATCAATATATCAAACATAACATAGTCATGTTAAGTCTTATTTAATCCGTATCAATAAGTAGTTTATTAATGTTCAATATTTCAATAGCTATACTTCATTTCTTACTAATATGCAATTATGTCTTTTATGGTCAAGTAATGCATTGATAATCCCTTTAAAAAAAAATTAAGTAATGCATTGACAAACGTGTAGAGTCAAAATGTGAAGAACATTTCATCTATAATTAGAGGGAGAGAGGGATGTGAATGTTGTTGACCATCACTTGGCAAAGTTAGCGCCGTACAATATATAGATGGATATATTACATTGAAATGATGTTGGAGTTTCATTATATCATAGTGAAAGATGGATATATCATAATATCATAATAGTCTAATGACCTATAATTGTTAGTAGTATTTGGCATATATGAAAACTATAAACCAAGTCAATGCAAAATGGTTGATTGTGAAGTTGTGATGAAGGTTGTCACAACTCACAAGAGGATCCTCTATTCGTCTCCCTCATGTAGTGTGTCCCATTTTATACTTGGAACGATTCAATTCCATTCATCGTATGATTGTTACGGAAACACGCCTATCATTGAATAGATGAAAACGAGGATTTTGTACCGTCTTTGTTGTGTTTTTCGATCTAGTGCTTTCTTGCTTGAAAATGAAAGAGTGAAGTTGCTTGGTTGACAAAATTATCGAATTTTTTCTACGAGTATTTATTTTTATTTTTTGAAAAAAAAGAAAGTTTAGCTTTTTTAGAGTAGTATAAGAAGGAAAAAAAGTTACAAATAATTATTTTATTAAATTTTCGCGGATTAGTGAAACTTTCAATAACTCTTTGAAAACCAAACAACAAGAAATAAGATTACATGGATGTTTAAACAAGAAAATTAAAATTGTTTCAACTATTCAGAAACGAAGAGAGTATGTTTAAAAGCCTGTTTGGTCAATGATTTTTTATTAACTTTTGAAATCTCATTAGTCATATAATAAAATTTGTTTCGTAAATAAATATCTCAACTAGTTGAAAAATTGACTTTGAAGCGAAAATGAAAAAGTTACTTTTGCTTAGAGACACCATCGACCAATTGAACTTTTTTATTTTTTTATTTATGTTTTTATAGGCATTCAATTGAACATAGATGACTCTTATCAAATTTCTCTTTATTTTTTTATTCTTCTCAAATTTATCTGATCTAGGTTTATTTATCTTGAGCATTTTTTTCATGAAATAACTAAAAATTTGGTAAACATAGTAGACTTTCATAGAGTCCTCAAGTTTATCAATAGTTCGTCCAATTTTCTATCTTCAAAAAAAAAACCTTAAAAACAAGCACGGGAACAGCACAGGACTTCAACTGTAAAAACAGATTGCAGCAAACTATTTGTAGCTTTAAGGTGCAGCCAAACTAGAAAGTCGCAACTATTGATCAACCAATTTGACATCAACTCTTTTACTTAGAAGTTTCCTTAACCCATCTCTCTATAATTAATCTAATTTAATTTTCTACCAATTTGCAAATATTGAACAATTTTGAATCATTTAATAATCAAACAGCAGCCTAGTCTATCTTGTTGACTTTTGTCAATGCAAGATCTTATTCAAATTAATGTGCCCAACAACTTATTTCTGGCTTCCCACTCTCTTCCAATCATTCAAAATTCAATCTTTTTTATTGATTCTTTCAATTCTTCAACTTCCCAGTTCATTAGGGCTCTTTTAATCAAGATTTTTCTACTTGTAAGCGTGATTTTTGTAATCTTGGCACACACCCACATTTATACAGCTCATAAATCAGGTAAATTTGACAGATTTATCAGCTTTTCAGACTATTTTGTAGATTATATTGTTCATTCTTTGGTTAATTTGACAGCTTTAATCATTCTGCAATCAAATTTAATCAGAAAGAAACAGAATTAGGAACTTTTTGTTGGGTTTTGATTGCTTAATTAGCAGTATTTCTAAAAAAAGATTGATTTTTGAAGATTGTGTAAAAAAAAAATATGGCACATTTTAGTCAAGTTCATTCACCTTCCTTTAATGGCTCACAACATGGTCAAGGAACTGAGTACTTGCCATTTCAGACCTCTCAAGGGTCTCTAAAAGTTATGCTGTTACATGGGCATTTAGACATTTGGGTTAAGGAGGCTAGGAACCTTCCTAATATGGACATGTTTCATAAAACCTTGACTAATTTACTAGGGGGTTTATCAATTATGGGATCCTCGAAGAGGTTAACAAGTGATCCTTATGTCATTGTATCTGTTGCTGGTGCTATTATTGCCAGAACTTTTGTGATGAGGAATGATGATAACCCAGTATGGATGCAGCATTTCTTTGTGCCTGTTGCACATACTGCTGCAGAATTACAATTTGTAGTCAAAGATGATGATGTTGTAGGTGCTCAGATTATGGGTGCTGTTGGTATACCAGCACAACAGTTATACTCAGGTGAAAGGATTGAGGGGTACTTTCCTGTTGTTAAGGCGAATGGACAGAATTGGGAGACAGGAGCAGTCCTGAGTGTTTCGATTCAGTATATACCGGTGCATAGAATGAATCTTTATCATTTGGGTGTTGGTCCTGGTCCTACTTATTATGGTGTTCCTAGGACTTATTTTCCACTTAGACAAGGGAATAGATTAACACTTTACCAAGATGCACATGTTGAGGATGGTATGCTTCCTGATTTTAGGCTTGACAATGATATGCATTATGTGCATGGGAAATGCTGGAGGGATATCTTGAATGCTATTTCTCATGCTCGTCGATTGGTGTACCTTACTGGGTGGTCTGTAACCCACCTTGTCAAACTTGTTCGTGATGCTAGAGATGGCTCGGGGATCACTTTAGGAGCTCTTCTCAAGGCTAAAGCACAGGAGGGTGTAAGGGTGCTGCTCCTTTTGTGGGATGACCCTACTTCTCAGAATATTCTGAACTTTACTACTGTAAGTGGATTTTCCTGCCTACTCTCACTGTTATTGTTCGCGAGTATTGCTTGTGACCAGATTACTTTCTTTCAATCTTAGTATCTAATACTTGAGGAATCTTATTAGAAGTGTACATTGCACTTTCCACTTTCCACTTTTCTGCTTGATTGATGTCCATTTTTTTTTTCCTTTTTTACTTTTCTGAAGTGGTTATTAGAATAGACAATTGTCGAGCAGTGGATATGAAAATGCATTTTTTCTGTCACAATGAGAATGCCAAATTGTGAATTGCTGCCCTCCTAGTTTCTACTTATTATGGATCATTTGCTTCGGCCTTACCAGTTTTCCTAATTTTCCATCTTTAGATTCTTATACATGTCCTGTAAAAAAGGTTTTTTTTTACTGATTTGTGCATCTGATGTGTAGCAAGGCATCTTAGCAACAGATGATGAAGTAACTTTCCAATTCTTCAAGAACTCCTCAGTGCATGTCATACTTTGCCCACGATCTGGAGGAAAAGGACATAGTATCATCAAGCAGCAGGTATTTCACATGCTACTTTGTCTGAATCAAATCATTGTCTCTCTTTGCTTCATAAGTGTACAATTCTGTATTTGTAATTTTACCTGGACAGTTGTATTAGTTTTGTATTTGATCCGATGTGTCCCTTTGATTATACTATGATCAGGAAGCTGGAGCAATCTATACCCATCATCAGAAAACTGTAATTGTAGATGCTGATGCAGGCAACAACTGGAGAAAGATCATTGCTTTTGTTGGCGGGCTTGACCTCTGCTCAGGGCGATATGATACACCAGAGCATTCTCTTTTTAGAACATTGCAGACTGTACACAAGGATGACTTTCATCAGCCAAACTTCACTGTAAATCATACTTCTCAATTCCTCTTTTACTGTCTAATACACTAGATTGATGTCAAAATATGGAGATGCCTTTAACATATAGTTACTGAGGTGTGTAGATGCATTTTCATGCAAATATATTGATCCTCTATTCTACAGGGTCCAACTGATGGATGCCCTAGAGAACCTTGGCATGATTTGCACTGTCAAATTGACGGTCCAGCTGCATATGATATCCTGGCCAACTTCCAGGAGCGTTGGTTAAAGGCTTCAAAACCTCGGGGGCTACAAAAAATGTCAAAATCTTACGATGATCATCTACTTCAAGTAGACAGGATTCCTGATATTCTCAAACTAGAAGATGTAATCAGACACAATCATGATGATAGGGAATCATGGCATGTGCAGGTAACTTAATCTATTTCAGTTGGTTCTTAAACTTTCTTTTAAATATCCAGATTTTTTTTAAAGCTGTTACGTTTGACTGACTAATTAACTAAACTATCTCAGATTTTCCGCTCAATAGACTCCAATTCTGTGAAAGGATTTCCAAAGGATCCTAGAGATGGGATACGATGGGTTAGCATCTTGACTTCCTCTTAACTTATGTGGATATACAACCCTTCTTAGTATAGACTGTTAACGAACATTTGGTTTTTCTGTATGTTGGACCAGAACCTTATGTGTGGAAAGAATGTACTCATAGACATGAGTATACAAGCAGCTTATATACATGCCATCCGTTCTGCCCAGCATTACATTTATGTTGAGAACCAATACTTTCTTGGCTCCTCATATAATTGGGATTCTTACAAAGACTTAGGTAATTTATCACGATCCTGTGTTCGATATTCTCATTTAATATTGCACG